TTGCTAACCAAACATGCTAGCGTTCACTGATTACTTAGCACCCTTTTACTCATATAAAGTGCAACAACAACATGGCGGCTGACATTATGGCTTCAAAATGCAGAGTCCAAAACCAATGTGTAATCTCAAGATGGCTACATCCTCATTTTATATATTATCAACGGTTACACTGCTAATAAAACATGTGTGTAGCCTCTCAGGTCTGATAAATGAAGCTAATGTGGTTGCTAAATCTTTAGAAATCTAAAACAAAAACACATGACTTCAACCTCTCTGATCACTTTGGGGTTTTAACCACTAGAAAAACTCAAATAAATTGCAAAAAAATTATTAGCTACGTTTTTCTTTAGGAACAGGTGTATTGAGCACGAGAACTACACTCCACTTTTCAAAAATCAGGAAGTAAAATATTGCATCGGTGAAGCTTATTTCATTAAAGATTTAATTAAATGAAAAATTATTTCAAAATGGTAAATGGTAAATGGACTGGTTCTTATATAGCGCTTTTCTACTCTTCTGAGCACTCAAAGCGCTTTACACAACTTGTGCATTCACCCATTCACATTTTTCTAGGTGCTTTCTAAGTAACATTCATACACATTCGCACTCCGATGGATGCATTGGAGAGCAACATGGGGTGAGTATCTTGCCCAAGGATATTTGGCATGCAGACAAGGAGCAGCCTACGATCAAACCACCGACCTTCTGGTTAGTGGCTGATCTGCTCTGCCACCTGAGCTACAGCCAAATGGTCAAACTGTTGATTAAGTAACAATGTGAGTGAGTAAGATGGTAGCGGTCTTCAAAAGCCTCCAGGCTGCAAGCTTATTGTTAATTTACATATCAGTAAAAACAAATTCTTTATTTTTTAAGACTGAATTTGGGAAGAGCTTAATTAAATGTAAAATAATACAGTACGTTTTGAAACTGCTTCTAAAACAAAGTGCTCAAAGAGGCAAAAAGCATGTGTGCAGAAAAAAGAATAATAAGAACATGTTGTTCAAAGATTATCCCAATCAAAGCAGTGTGACAAATAACATCTGCCACAAGCGTTAAGACAAACAGTACTTTAGTGGCTGCCTCAGTATGTAATTTATTGCTTCACAGCATACTAAACTAACTTTAATGTGGCATTTTATATCTTTGTACGCAGCTCAGTGACTGAGATCAGACAAAAGCTTTTAATTAATATGACGATGTGTAAATACCATAAACAAATCTGGAAAAAAAATCGGACCTTTTTAAGTCGTTTGGCCCACGGCTTCTGAGCACGTGCAAACCCCGTCTCAATGTCGTGAGACTCCTTGAAACCCCCAAATAACTTCTTGTGGAAGGTGTCCTTCTGCCAGGTCCTGACCCGGTCCCCATCCTCCGACACCAGGGAGCGACAGATGGTGGCGTGTAGGGCGGCAAGCCTGTCGGCGGAGGACAGAAAACACTGCCAAGCCTTCATAAGAGAGCCGTATAGAGGACCTGAGGGAGGGAGGAGAAGATGACACACCATTAAAATTACTGTTGTATTTCAGTAATAATTGGAACATGATTTTGAAATAAGATCATTTCCATGTTCATCATATGTGTTGCGGTTACTGATCTTACTAGAGTCCACCACCGGCTTCCACTTGTTGCTCCATTCACTGAGCTGCTGGGCGTACTGCCTCTCCACGCGCGCTCTCTCTTGGAAACACGCCACTATGTCATTACAGGCCTGGAAAGCATCTTCTGTTCGCTTCGCAGTGCGCTGATAGTTCCCAGGCTGCCAGGACACAAAGAGAGAGGAAGATTTGCTTTCCACATCATAAACACATGAAGGTTAAATTGATTTGATGCTTTAAACTCTAAAGTCTTTTAATTTTTTGGCTTTAAAAATGTTCCAGTGTTCAGTGATTCAGTTTATTTTCTTTAGTTTTATTATTTCAGTGCCAGAGAATCCAAAACGATACATTTGTTCAGTGTATTCTTGGAAATATGGAGACCCAAAACTGAATAACACAAACAAAAAGATTACTCCAACTGGTATTACAAGCACACTGCTACTGTTGCTTGTTACTACTACTGCTTCTAATTTGTAATATTAGTAACATATTAAAAATAGACTAATATTATAAGTAGAAATATTAGGGCAAATATCCACTGCCTGAAGCTTCGTTTTTTATAGTAACTCAGCTTTGTTGTTTAGATTACTCAAAGCAGATCTATTATGGTCATTTCCAGCGCCATGTTTTTAATCTCGGGCTCTACTAGAGTAGCTTAGTATGGGTCACAGTTTAAAATAATCCTTATTTAACCTATGATGGATCTTGGTGCAGACCCTCAGTTAATCCTGTGTCCACCCCCTTCCCTTTAACCTAGCCGTCTTCTGATTGGCTGCCCCTCGTAAACAGAAGGTTTGAACAGCAAGTCATTTTGTCCTCAAGAAAAGGGAATTCAAATTGTGTCTAAATTGTAAATAAA